GAATTGTTTTAACAACATATATGTTGAAAGCTAGCAATAAAAAAAAAGGGTTTATAGCCATCACAACTCACTACATTACTGATGATTGAGATATGCAAAGTTGCATATTGAGGTATAATTTTTATGATAATTGTATGATATATTCATTTACTAATTATTTACATATAATATTTTTAGTCAAAAGACAATAAAAGGTGACATTATCAAAATCTATTAGAATAAAAAGTTGAAGGCTATGGGACTCTTAGAGAAGATTGAAAGTAGAATTGTTTTAACAACAAATATGTTGAAAGCTAGCAATAAAAAAAAAGGGTTTATAGCCATCACAACTCACTACATTACTGATGATTGAGATATGCAAAGTTGCATATTGAGGTATAATTTTTGTGATCATTGTATGATATATTCATTTACTAATTATTTACATATAATATTTTACATTATTTCAATGCCTTTTTATGTATGTATATAATTTATTTTTACATTAATAGGTTTGTATATATGGAATGTCCACATATAGTAGAAGCTTTATCTAAAGTGTTGGTTGAATGCATGCTAGATTAGAATATTGATAGAAAGTTATCTACCATCACTTTGAATAATTGTAGTACAAATGACTCTCGTTAGTTTGTTACTAAACAAACTTGATTGTTCTTCTCTTATGCTTAACGGTAAGTTGTTTCACATGAGGTATTATACTCAAGATAGTTTAAATGTTATTGGAGATGGTACAGAGAAGATTAGGAGTAGTGTTGCTTTTTGGATAGCTACACCTAAAAGAAAACAAACCTTTAGGGAAGCAGCATATCAAATCAAAGTTTCCATTATAAAAAAACTTGTACTTGATTGCAAAACATGATGGAATTTTACTTATCAAATACTTATTGTTGCATTGACTTATAAAGATGTTTTTATCCATTAGACAATAGGAGAGCATATGTATACATGTATCCCTACAACAAATGGGTGAAATTACTAAAGAAATTTGTAGTAGGTTGAAAATCTTTAATCATGTGACTGATATGTTTTTCAGGACACAATATCCTATAACAAATATTTTCTTTCCTTTGGTTTGTGAAATAAAGTTATCCTTACAACAATGACAAATTTGTTCAATTAAGGCTATTAGTGAAGAAAGATAATTGCCTACCTTTCTCATTCATTATCTCTCCTATATATACAAAGTGTATTACCACTATCAAGGCTACAAATCAGGGATTATACAACTATAATATCCTATACAAAGGGAAACAAACTATAACAGAATATTTACATAATTTGGAGAATAATTTCTATATTCTATCACACCCCCGCAGTTTCAGGGGGAGGAGAACGAACACTGAGATTGTCCCAAAAATCTTTAAATAAAACAAGGGGCAACCCTTTTGTAAAAATATCAGCAATTTGATAACGGGAAGGCACATGATAAACTCGGACTTCACCTCTAGCCACCTTTTCACGAACAAAATGAATATTCATTTCAATGTGTTTGGTGCGTTGGTGTTGAACCGGGTTCCCAAAGAGATAAATGGCACTTACGTTATCAAAGTAGACCAAAGTTGCCTTCCGTATAGGACAACCTAGCCCCAGTAGAAGGTTCCGAATCCAACAAGATTCAGAGACAATATTTGCAACACCCTTATATTCCGCTTCTGCGCTAGATCGGGAAAGTGTGGGTTGTTGTTTTGAGGACTATGAGATCAAATTATCACCCAAAAAAACACAATACCAGATTTAGAATGCCGAGTATTCGAACATCCACCCCAATCAGCATTCATATACAACACAATGGTAGAAATAGAGGATGGAGAGAGATGTAGTCCAAAATGTAGAGTACCTTGTACATAGCGGATGATATGCTTGAGAGCATTTATATGGGTATCTCTTGGGTCATGCATATGTAAACACACCTGTTGAACTACATAAGATATATTCGGCCGTGTGAATGTGAGGTATTATAGTGCACTTGCGAGGCTATGGTAAGAGAGGGATCTACATATGGGGCGCCAGAAGTGGCACTCACTTTGGGCTTGGTATCAACAGGAGTACGAGATGGCTTACACGAACCCATGTCTGCTCGATCAATTATTTCTTCAGCATATTTTCGTTGTGAAAGGAACAATCCACCCTTGTGCCTAGTCACACAAATACCCAAAAAATAATTAAGAGAGCCCACATCCTTCATCGCAAACTCCAAACTAAGACTGTCTATAATGCACTGAAGGAGGGAAACTGAGGAAGCAGTGAGTATGATGTCGTCCACATACAATAAAAGATAAGCCATCTCAGAGCCATTCTGATAAATGAACAGGGAACTATCAGACTTGCTATTCTTGAAACCAATACCTGAGACAAAATCTGCAAACCTCCTATACCAGGCATGGGGGGCTTGCTTAAGTCCATACAAAGCCTTACGCAGTAGACACACATAATCTGGATGTTCAGGGTCCCCAAAACCCCATAGGTTGATGCATGTAAATTGTCTCCTTGAGCTCCCCATGGAAAAATGCATCTTTTACATCCAGCTAATGAATATGCCAGTTTCTAGATAGAGCCAAGCTGAGAACGGTCCTGATGGTAGCTGGTTTGACCACTCGACTGAAAGTCTCGCCACAGTTAATGCCCACCTGTTGAGCTTTGCCGTCACCTACAAGACGGGCTTTGTGCCTCTCAAAAAAACCATCATATTTTTCTTTATGAGTAAAAATCCACAGAGTGAATCACATTAGCATTAGACGGATGAGGCACCAAATCCCACGTCTTACTTTTAATAAGAGCATTGAATTCTTCATCCATGGCCATTTTCCAATTCGGGTCACGAAGAGCAGCTAGGGGGTTACGTGGTAGGGAAGACCTAGTAACCGTGGCATGATGGGTTTGGTATTTTGGATTAGGCTTACGAATACTATGCTGACTTCGAGTGATAGGTCTGCTGGACTGAAATTGGGAGGCCTGTTGGGAAAAATTTATGGGCTGTGGGGAAATAGGCCGTGTGGAGGAAGTGGTGTCCCGGGCTTTGTAGATGACAGAGTAGGAGATTGGGCCGTGTCTATGGAGACATCATCGGCGGCTGCTAGACTCTGGGTTGTTGGGCTGAGACATCTTGGTGTGGGCTAGTAGAGGGTGTTTTGTGAGATGAGAGGTCACGAGTATTTTAAAGATGGTGGATGGTATATGGAGACAGCCCATCATCCAAGAAATCATAGTCACCCTCTTGTGGTTGATGAATTTTCGCAAAGGGAAAAACATTCTCATCAAATATCACATGTCTACAAATAATGATTTTATTGGAAGACATATCAAAACACTTATATCCCCAATGATAGGATGGAAAACCCAAGAAGACACATGGAGTAGACTGTGCTTGAAGCTTATTAATTTGAGTAGAGGGGAAAAAGGATAGCATAAACACCCAAAGACCCTAATATGAGAATATGAGGGATGGCGTTGATATAGCACTTGAAGGGGGGACTCATAGGCTAACAATTTACTTGGAAGAATATTAAGTAGGTATGTTGCCATTTGGAGAGCATGATGCCAAAAAGATAGGGGTAACAATGCATAATGAAGAAGAGTGCGAATGATATTATTGATGGATCTAATCTTTCTCTCTGCTTTGCCATTTTGGGATGATGTGTGAGGACAAGATCGACGAAATGAAATGCCATTTGACTCACAAAGTTGTCTAAACGACTTATTATCAAATTCACGTTCATTTTCACATTGAACATTTTTAATAGGATGCTCAAAATGAGTACGAATGTATTTGTGGAAGTTTGTAAATATAGAAAATACTTGGAATTTGGAGGCAAGGGGAAAAGTCCACAAGTATTTGGAGTAATCATCCAAAAACAATACATAATAATGATGACTTGAAGTACTGAGCACAGGAGATGTCCAAAGATCACTATGAATAATATCAAATGGCATATAAGTAATAGATGATGAAGCAACAAATGGCAATTTAATATGTTTTTCAAGTACACAAGATCAACACATATTAGTCTTAGAAGAACTAGTACAGTCGATGAAATTAACGCCTAAGAGAGGCTAAAACTGAAGCTCCCGGATGACCCAATCTATTATGCCAAATTGAAGAAGCTAAGAAAGCCGAGGGTGACGAGATGGTGGTAGAAACGCTCTTGGTGATGGGATAAAGGTCACTGTTGCTATCACATCTCAGTAGCTGCATTCTCGTATGTAAGTCATGCACAGAAAACCCAAAGGGATCAAAAACTACAGACACATGGTTGTCAGTTGTGAACTTACGAACTGAGACAAAGTTTTGAACAAGGTTGGGAGCATGCAAGACATTTTTGAGAGACAAAGGAGGGCTAGTTTGAGGTAAAGAACTATAACCATAACCACGAATTGGAATAGATTGACCACTACCACAGTAATACTTTTTTCTTTGCTCAAATTAAAATAAGATGAGAGATTACCTTGTGATGGGGTCATATGAGATGTGGCCCCAGTGTCCATATACCAATTCGGGTCCTGCTAAGAGAGCGACATAGTATGCATGCCCGACTCTAAGTCGGTCGGAGTCCATTGGGCCGCATAGGCCTGTTGTGATCTAGGCCATGTTGATTGGTTTGGACGAGGGCCCAGAATCCTTTGTGGCTGCTGCTGCTGTGTAGGATAAGGACAAGGAGACATGGTCCAAGGTGGGGGTTGTACCCAGGCCCACCGAGCAGTAAACGGAGGCCACAACCCTTGCGACTGCTGTTGCTGTTGACCTGCTTTATCATGGCGACCACCGGACTGGCCCCATCCTCGGTTACTGCCACTACTGGCATACGGCTGACCACCCCCGAAGTTGCCACCACTCGAGTTCCCTCTGTTTCTATTCTGAAATTTATTCTGGGTTTATTGTTGTTGCAATTTTTGGATTTATTCTTCCTACCATGGGAGTAGGATTTGGTCTCCGATGAATCATCCAAATCTCGAGATTGCGCAACCATGGCCTCATCGCCCATGTCCAGGCTTTTTATGCCAGCCTACTCCAAAACCAGCATCGAACGAGCCTCATAGGAGAGAGGGAGTATTTTTTTATGGCGAATAACTGAAGCAACGCCCTTGAACGCCGGGGTCAATCCTCTGACCATACAAAGGACAAGACGGTTGTTGGAGACCGGAGCACCAATATTTTGGAGTTGATCCGAAATAGTCTTGAGATGTTGACAATAGGCCAAGACAGATGAGAAATCCTTCAAGTATGTATTGTTGAATTCCTGTTTAAGGGCAATGGCACGGGAATTCTGATTGTCTTGAAACAAGTCTCGGAGCCGATTCCATAGTGTTAGAGCCGAAGCATCTTCCTCGATAATTATGTTTAGCAAGTCCGTGGATATGGTGGAATATATCCATTGGACCACAACAACATCTAACGTGTCCCACACGTCTTGTTCTTCTGGAGTGAGAGGTACTAACGCCTTCACTTGACCATCTTTGGTCTTAGGAGGGATGATATGATGAAGAACCTTGTGAGAGCAGCAATGGACTTTGAACAATTCTGCCCAATTTGCATATTGGACATTTTCCATGGTAAGGGTGACAGGTACATGCGATTTGATGTTTGTTACAGCAAGATTCGGATGGAAAGCGCCTTTGGAGGAAGAAGATGAGGAAGAGGTCTTGTCACCCATGACGTGGAAAGGCAAGGATTGAAAAGGAAGAAGAGGAAGAAGAAGAGGAAGAAGAAGAAGAGAACAGAACAGAAGAAGACGAAAGCTGCGGAAGCAAGAGGATTACACGCCTCAAACTTCTGATACCATGAAGAAAGATAATTGCTTGCCCTTCCCATTCATTATCTCTCCTATATATGCAAAGTGTATTACCACTATCAACGCTACAAATCAGGGATTATACAGCTATAATATCCTATACAAAGGGAAACAAACTATAATAGAATATTTACATAATTTGGAGAATAATTTCTATATTCTATCAATTAGAAATATGGCTACAAAAATATTAGCCAAATTTGAGAAATATTAGTTTGTTATACATGGGATTATGGGAATTGCCATTTTTTTGGATCCAAGATATAAATTGAAGTTAGAGTATTTATTTCTCAAGCTTTATAAAAGTTCATCTTCTTTTAAAATTAACAATGTGAAGAAATTATGCTACTTGTTGTTTGAAGATTATCAAGCTAAAGCCACAAGAATAGTGGAAATGAATTTGGATATGCTTAATGTTAACAATTTTCTAAGTGATTATGATTAATTTATTAATGATAAAAATGATATACTATCTAAGTCTGAGTTAGATATCTACTTGGAAGAAAAGGTTGTTGCCTAGAAGTGCTAGTTTTGATATCCTTGGGTGGTGGAAATCAAACCAGATCAAATATCCAATATTGCGAAAAATTGCCAAGGATATTTTGGCTATCCCAATTTCAAACTGTTGCTTTAGAGTCTCCTTTTACCACAAGAGGTAGATTGTTGAGTCCTCATCGTTCTCAACATCATGAGGACACCTTGGAAACACTTATGTGTGCACAAAGTTAGCTAAAAAATGAAAAGGAAGGTATTGGATACTCTATTAATATATTTATGCAATTAAATGTGTTTGTTAGTTTTAATTAGATAGCTAAATTATTGATTTTCTTGTTATATACTTATGTGTTCAAGTTTCTATTGGTAGAAGGTGTATAACCCCTATCTGTTGGTTCCAAGATGGAGTATTTGATGGTTGGGCCTGAAATGCTGCAAGAAACTAAGGAGAAAGTTGAACTTATTAGAGAAAAGCTGAGAGCAACTCAGAGTCGACAAAAATCTTATGCTGACCGACGCAGAAGATCTCTAGAATTTGAGGTTGGTGATCACGTATTCTTGAGAGTATCACGCACTACAGGTGTAGGGCGAGCCTTAAGAGCCAAGAAGTTAACACCTAAGTTCATAGGACAGTATTAGATATTACATCGTAGAGGACCAGTAGCCTATGAATTAGCGTTACCACCTCAGTTGTCAGGACTACATAATGTTTTCCATGTATCGCAATTAAGAAAGTATGTTCCTGATTCGTCTCATATAATTGAGCCTGATGTTGTGGAGTTACGAGATAATTTGTCTGTGGAGGTCCCAGCTGCTCATATCGAGGATACTAGAGTTAAGGAACTTAGAGGCCAGTCTATTCAGTTAGTAAAGGTTGTTTGGGACCCAGTAACTGGTGATGCCACATGGGAGTTAGAGGAAAGAATGAGAGTTGTACCCTTATCTTTTCTCTGAGGGATGAAATTTTTTAGGACAAAAATTTATTTTCGGGGGGAGAATTGTTAGGCTAGTGATTTGTTATTGAGTAATCTATAATATTTTATACCTGTTCAATGTTAATTGAAGGATTATTTGGTATTGGAATAGATTTAGATGGAGTTTGAAATTATTTTTTTTAAAAAAAGTGAATAGTACCGTATGAACAGTGCAAACCGTGTATGAACAGTAAAAATTGCATATGTACAGTGATTGCTGACATCATCACTGACATCATCATGACGTCATGGCTGACGTCACATACGTGTACAGTGCGTGTACAGTACGCATGCACAGTGTTTTCTGGCATGAATAGTGTCCTGAACAGTGTTTTCGACGATGAACAGTAAATTTCGGCGGTGAACAGTAAATTTCAAAAATTTTCTATTAAAAGGGGGCTTCACACGAAATTTTCATTTCTTCACCCCTATCCAAGGTTCTCAAAGGTTCTAAGGCCGTATACTACCATTTTCTCTCATATTAAACCCTCTTAAACTTAGATTTCTCGCTAGATCTGAGATTTTACATCTATTCTGAAGGATTTGAAGTAAGTTTCTTTAAGTTTGAAGCTAGATTTACCGTTCGTTTCTCTTCTTCTTCTCTTTCTCATAGAAGTTCATGGTGTTCTTAGGAGAAACTCCGTTCTAAAGCAAAATCTTTGGTGAATCTAGCTATAAAACAAGTAATATTCGGTAGATCTAGTGTGAATCATCGTTCTGAGGTAAGGGGAGTTTACTTTAACCTATGAACTACGTTTTGAACGGTTTAATATGCTATTTCAAGATGTTTTGATATGATTTTGTTAGATCTATTGAATAAAAGTTATTTTCTAAGTTGTAACTGCTGTTAATTGATTTAAAATGTTGAGATTTTAGCTGATCTATCTTAAACTTGCCTTAGCTGAGCTGTTAAAATAATTTTAGCGGTGTGCATCATGCTGAGATATATGTTTTGCATCATTATAGAGCTGAGTTACATGTTTAGGTGAGTAAACGTGTAACGGTAAGTTCATGCTGAGCTGCTGTGCTGTGCTGTCTGGATCCAGATACCGGAACGGGTAGCTCCCGGACCGGCTCGGTTCCTTCTGGATTACTTAGGCTGTGAAACCAGTTAGAAATCATTTTCATGCTGTGCATTAGATGGGCTGGAAATGCATGGGGCTATTGCTGTGAGAAATATTTTGCTCTATATATATGATTTTATTTTATTTTTGTAAGCTCACCCTTGCTTTTGTTTCTATGTCGTTGTGTGCGTGTGTACTGCGATGATCGTACGGTGGTATGTGAGCAGATGTAGCAGGTGTTGCATCTACTTCACAGGCTGAGGGGCCAGTGAAGAAATGTTAGAAGCTAGAATCGAGTAATATTGCATCAAAGTCCTTTTTCCTTATATTTTGAGACCTCATGTAGAGGGAGCTACGTAGTATAATTTTGGATATTTTGAATATTATGAACTAAATGTAATATTACGTTGTTTTATTGGATATTTGTTGTAAAAAACTTTATTTTATTTTGAATGAGAAGAGAATTTCATACTTACATTCTCTATTATTTATTTATCTTAAATAAGTATGTGATGTAGAAACAATGTTCTCGATTCCTTATAAAAAGGGGGTCGTGACATTAAGTGGTATTAGTGTGTATTTAGAATGGACTATAGAGGATTTTTGTGAGGATTTTGGTGCAGTAGATCTCGCTCAAGCGAGATTAAGCGTGCAGGAATAATTTGTTGCGGGGCTATCTCACTCAAGTGAGTGATTCTTGCTCAAGTGAAATAGGATAAATGTGGCCTAACTGTCACCTCGCCCAAGCGAGAGTGATCTCACTCAGGCAAGCTAAGGATTTAGTCTAGGCGAGATGGGTCGCTCAGGCGAGGACCCCACAAGAGAAATATCATGCTCTCTGGACACTATTTATTTTGTGCTCAGAGAGTACGGTTACATGAATATTTTATGAGAATAGATGATTGAGATACTTGTGGTGTGAAGTATGAATGAAAAGATATTTGTTTGATTGTTTAGAATGATTGATTGTCTGGGCCAAATGGCTGATATATGCTTACTTGCATGGTATGATGAGTACTGGATATAGAATATTGCAACTTGCTGAGTAATTTTGTGTGATTTTACGAAATATATTTGAGTAAAATGATATAAGGTAACGATGTTGATATTAAATATTTACGGTTAAAATTGTATCAATGAATGTATGTGTGGAATGGATTGAAACAGATTTACTCTGAAAGTACTTTATTAAGCACGATCTTATGAGTAAGAAATAGAATAACTTTGAGAATGACCTAATAGTCGAATATGGATGAAATCTAGTATGAATAGTTACAAAGATATACTGGGGTATAAAGTCTGGAGACGATGAAAATTTGGGGGAAACATAGGGTGGTGAGCGACATTCGCATATGTGTATACACTTTTTCTGAGAGCAAATACATCACATGGCCTCACACTCGTTTCCTAACTAGACTCCTGACTATGTCTTTGCTAATGGGCCCGATTATTATACATGTTGTATCTTTGTGCATGGGTTAACCGACAATTATTTACCTAGTTGAATAAGACCTCAAAAAGTGTTGGAGACATCGATATCTGTGATCACAGTGTACTGAGAGTGCATATTGGGATAAGAAAACAGATAATAGATAGTGAATTATGAATGATATATGTGTAAATATGTTTGTAATGTGAATTTAGTGTGAAAATGAATATGTTGCTTTTATATTATAACTTATGATTTTATGATATAATGCTTGAAAAAGGATAGAATAGATGATCATCCTTACTAATAATTTAGGGAATCAGGATGACGGGTGATTATAATATGTGAGCCAGAATAAATTAATGGATGTGATTATGATACAGGTATTATGGTATATTGAAAAGTATTTTCATAATACATGTATTATAATACATTAAGTTATATGATCAAAACTCACATATTATGACACATTGATCTATGAAAAGGATATGGAAAAGAAAGAGAATGATATGAGAAATGTTGAGAATAAGTATAGATAGTTACAGAGAAATAATAAGGTGTGGAAGACAAGGGCGATTGTGAAAATTTGGGAGAAATGAAGGTGGTGGATGCTTTTCCATGATTGTGAAAAATTAATGAAAATAGAGAGAAAAGACATCACAGGCCTCACACTCATTTCCTGACCTAAACCTCTAACTACACCTTTGCTAAAAGGGGCCGGATTGGCACAGTGTATCTGTGTTGCTGTGGCTAACCAGCAACTATCTATGCTATGAAGTCCTCAAGGAATCCCAAAGGCAATGAAAATGAATATGAAAGTGTGATTAATATGAAGTGATATAGAAATTGCGTGATTATAATATATGCATTGTAACATATTAATTAATGTTATTATGATATATGTGTTGTAATACATCAACGGATGTGATTAGGACACATGTATTGTGACATATTGATTGATATGATATAATACATGTATTATGATATACAAATCAATGTAGAAATGTGATGAATTTAGTATATGTGCTCTCCTATGAAAATTGTTGGTATGACATTGGTGTGTTACTATTACAGAGTATATAATAAATTGTATTTAATAATATTTTTGATTTCACTTAAATTATTCTATCAAATAAGAGATTTAGTGGGATAGGAAATACTCACACTTACTAATTACATTTTATTCAGTGATATTTGAAGATTGCTATGTAGGGATTAGAATAATTTGAGAAATTGTAATATTTTATTCTAATTACATTTTATATTGACCAAGTTCTATACATATTTTAAATGTCAGATTTTAGAATTTATAATACTTTGGTAAATTTTGTTGTAATGAATAATTTGAAAATCTTTTTAATGGTATTTTAAACTTATATGTATGCGATACGAACCAAATAATTTGTTAGACGTAAGTCAAAATTTTATTCATCACTTTAAAATCTTGAAACTATTCCTTTGGAAGTTTTAGGCACTGTTAAATCCTATAAAATTTCTTAAACGAAATGTAAATTCATTTTTTATTTAATTTTTAAATTTATAAAACACTATAATTTTTTATTTTTTCCTTGTGCTATAAATATTTATTTATCTTTTTAAATAAGAATTTGAGGATGTTACACACCACCCTCATTTCCCCAAGATTTATAAAATTGTCTCCATCTTTCACACTCTCAGTGTATCTCTAAACTATCTACATTTGTCTTTATCATCTTTCCTTTCTTATCATCATTTCACTCTTTCATATTTCTCGTTATAATTTCCCTCTTTTTCATCCCTCATCATATAATAAATTTATCACTTTCAGGGTTACATCTCTTGCATCTTTCTCTATTTCTATTTATTCAAGTTCATTATTATGATACATGTTCTCATCAATGATTTTATGCAAATTTTCCTAGGAGGCCACCTGAGTGAGTTCCATCTTGCCTAGGTGAGATCCCTTCTTGCCTGACCAAGTTCTATCTCGCCTGGACGAGATTCCTTCTCGTCTGAGCAAGATCACTTCTCACCTAGGTGAGAGGACAATTAGGGCAAGTTTATCCTATCTCGTTTGAGTGAAAATACTCTAGAATCTTATGTTTTTGGGCACTCAATCTCGCTTGAGTGATACCCTCTGCACTAAATCTCTGTCAAATACTCATTAAATCAAATTAAAACACATTTTGACATCACCTATTATCAAAAATTTTGTCAAGTAATAAATAAATAAAAAAAAGGGTGTTACAAGTTAAGAGTTTAATGTAGGCTCAAACGTGCACTCGATTGGATATCATTTTTACTGTTGAAATGTTAGAATCCCAAAATGGACCACTAGAAGGATGTAAAGAAAGTTCTTAGGTGTTTAAAAGACACCAAAGATTGCATGCTTACTTATAGAAGATTTGATCACATTGACATGGTTGGTTACTTAGATTCTAACTATATTGGGTGTGTAAACTCCAGGAAATCAACTTTTGGCGACATCTTGTTAAGCGAAGGTGTAAT